CAGAGTTCTAACAGCCAACAAAGAACAGCAAGGCTGCATGAGCATAAAGTAGGAGGAATGGGGAGCGGAGCAGAGCTGTGAGGGACTCATCCTGCCCGGCAGAGACATGAAAATCTTGGCAAAGGAGAGGCCTTCGTGCTAAGCCCGGACAGATCTTCCCTGGCAGAAGTGGGAGAAGGGCATCATGGGCCAGGTGGTGGCCTGAGGGGTCAGGGGGGCATGGAAGGCAGGACACAGTTTAAGATGCTTAATGGGGGGTGGTGGCAAATTAAAATGGGAAGAGAAACCAAGGCCAGAATGTGAAGGACCTTGAATGTCAGGCTAAGTAAGGACTTTGGCCAAAGCAGTCTCTATCAAAGGACTCTGGGGGAAAAAAAAAAATTTAAAGGAGGCGTGTCCTCGTGTGCTGGGAGCAAGGAGCCAAGGGAGCGCGTCCCATGGGGAGGCCACTGGAGGCATCCACGGTGAAGGTGGTGGCGGTCAGACCCAGGTCAGGAACACTGCAAGCCAAGAGGACGAGGTGATCTGAGAAGACTTCAGAGGGGGCATGTGCAGGCGAGGGATGGAGTACTGAAGACGAGAGACGAAAAGGAGGCAGAGATGACTCCAGCTCTTCTACTGAGACCAGAGTAGCAGCTGGTCCCTACGGAGAGCCTGTCCCAGGTCAGGCACTGTGCCAAGCTCATCTCAGGTGTTATGTACATTATGGCACTGAATGTTCACATGTGCGATTTAGGGCATATACCATTATTTTGTCTATTCTTCAAAAGAGAAATGATTTTTAAAAGCATTATTAGGGACAGAAAATGCAGTTAAAAATAAACTTTATAAATCACCAAGAAGATAAGAAAATTCTAAACTTGTACTCATCTAGTAAGTTACAAAATGTACAAAACAAAATGTGGATGATTAGCAAGAGAGAATTAATCGATCCCTCATCATACGAGAAAATTTCAGTATAGTGTTTTTTTCTTAAGAAAAGGTGAAGCACACAAAAAATAGGCTAGGAATTTGTCAATTTAATGATACAACCAGATAGTTAATTTAAAGACTGCATATAGAACCCTGTGTCTTAAAATTAGAGAATATCCATTCTCTCAAGAAATTTTTTACAAAAATGAATCATGCATCAGAATATAAACCAAACTCAACAAATTTCAAAGAATTAGTAATACAAGTTTTTCTAACAAATATAGCAAATTACAAGTCAATAACAAAAAGATAAGAATGTTTTGCATACATTTGCAAATTAGAAATTCTAAATAAGTCCTAGGTTGAAGGAGAAACTGCGACAGAAACTAAAAATATGTAGAACAAAGCAATAATGAGAATACTGCCCATTAAACCGTGTGGACTCAAATAAAGATGTAATTAAGGAAATGTACAGCACAAGTTGTGATTATATTAGAAAAATAGAAATGCTGAAATTAAGAAGCTAAGTGTAAACTTAAAAGTTAAGAAGAGAGGATAATGAGACAGGGTAGAACAGAGATTAATAAGGTAGAAACAAAGGTGCACTGGTGTCTCTGACCCATGAGCCACGTACGCAGGGAAGAGAATCAAAGCAGTTCTGCTGCAGGTAAAATATCTCAATAGAGAGTAAAGCTGCTGCCCAAAGTTGGCAGCCTGCACCTAGCAAAGAAGATTGCCTAGTTGTAGCACAGGAAACCACACTCATTAGAGAATATTAACAAAACCCAGAGTGTCCAGAAATTGATATCCATAATGTCTAGGATATAGTGCAAAATTACCCTACTTACAAAGAACCCAAAAAGGAACACACTTTCAGCATAAAAGAAAATTAATTGAGTCTGACCCCAAAAGGAAACAGATTTCAGAACTGATAGACAAAGATCTTAAAATATATATTATAACTATGCTCAATGAATTAACATGAGCATGTTTTCAATGAATGAAAATCTCAGCAGGGAAATGAGAAATCTCCACAGAAAAACAGAAGTAGTAAAAAGAACAAAATGGAAAATCCTAAACATAAGAACATAGATGCTAAAATGTAAAAATGCACTGGTTGGCGTTGATAGTCAAATAATCATGACGAAAGACAAAGCGGCTTTCATGACAGATCATTAGAAATTATTCAAAGTGAACAGAGGAAAAAAATTTTTAATGAACAGAGCATCAGAGACTCTTAGGTAATATCAAGATTCCCAATATATGTGCAATTGGAGTTACCGGGAGAGGAGATGGATAATTAGAAAAAAATATTTGGCAAATTAACAGCTAAAGATTTGATGAAGACATAGATTTGCAGATACAAGAGGCTCATCACACACAGTAAACACACAGAAGCCCAATCAAAAGTGCACTGTAGGACGCCTGGGTGGCTCAGTCAGTTAAGTGTCCGCCTTCAGCTCAGGTCATGATGCCGGGGTCCTGGGATCGAGCCCCGCATCGGGCTCCCTGCTCTGCAGGGAGTCTGCTTCTCCCTCTGCCCCTACCCCAACTCATTCTCCCTCCCTCTCTCTCTCTCAAATAAATAAATAAAAATATTTTTTAAAAAAAGTAGTTTGTAGTTGGGCTGTTGGAAACTGAAGGCCACAAATCAATCTCGAAGACAGCAAAAGAAAAAATGCATAGGAATAGCATGCAGGGAAATAACAATTCAATTAATACCTGACTTCTCATTAGAAACCATGGTGACCAGAAGAAAGTGAAACAAAATTTCAAGAGAAAAAAATAAAAACTATCAACCTAGAAATCTATATTAAGAGAAAATATCCTTCGGGGCCCCCTGGTTGGCTCAGTCAATTAAGTGACAGACTCTTAATCTCAGCTCAGGTTTTGATCTCAGGGTCATGAGTTCAAGCCCCGTGTTGGGCTCCACGCTGGGTGTGGAGCCTGCCTAAATGGCTAACTGAACATAAAATAATAATAATAATAATAATAATAATAATAATTTTTAAATAATTTAGAAATTATTTTAAAAATTAAAAGGAGAGAAAATATACTTCAAAAATGAAGGTTAACTGAAGACATTTTAAGATAAAACCAAGTTCAAGGACTCGATTGCCAGCAGATCCATACAACCAAACACCTAAAGCAAGTTCTCAAGAGGTTAGGAAAATGATAATACCTGGTATAAACTCAGATCCTAATGAAGAATAAAACACATCAGAAATGTCAAATAATGGGCAAATGCAAAACACATTTTTTCCTTTTGACTTTTTTCTTCTTAATCTCTTCATCAACGATATACTGTTACA